GGTTTTCATTGTGATATTTTGTACATGCAAGAAGTGGGTTGGGGGAAGGACTGGTTGGAGCACAAAGGAGAGTAATGGGGGTCAGAATACAATCGATCCAGTTTCTTTCCCACCCTCCTCCAGTTCCTATCTTTTTTGCTGGATTGGCAAGGTGATTAAACATGCGTTTTTGTGAAAAGATCCAGGCAGCTTGGGGAGGAAATCTCTCCTGCCTCAGGGTGGTACATATTTTTGATGCTAAACAGTCATTTCAACAGAAGGCGTAACACATGCAGTCCAGGGAGAAGAGGCTTTGAAATGCTTTGATTAGGTAGGGAGCTGTTGAATTATTTGGTATGGTCAGCCATTTGATTAACAATTCTTTGGGCACCAGCTTGATACTTACAAAGAGGTGAACAAGACAATGTCCCTGCTCTCGCACAACTGTGCTATTAAGTACAAAAAATAATTCAATCAGCAGTCTTCATAAAGTGCCAGGCTGAGTGGGGTCTTAGGCCAAATCACAGCTTGGAAAGTCTCTTTGGGCCCCCTAGTGTTCCTGATGAAGACAAGAGTCCCTATCAAAGCAAAGCCTTTGCCTAGCACTTACTGTGAGCTAGGCATTGTTCTAAACACTCTCATGCACAGATTCCTTTAGCCTCCACTGCAGCCCTCATCAGAGCTATTTTATAGATAAGGACACTAATGCACTCTATCAGGGAAGGCAGCGAGTAGGGGGCCTATTGTCAATAGCTGTAAGTGCCTGGGCCAAGATATGAACCTGGAAACTTGGCACCAGTGCCTGCCCCCTCTTTTCCACTGAACCACTCCTGAAGAACTGGGGCAGATGTTTCCAGTAGGTTCCCACTGAACCACTGGTGTAGGACCAGGGCAGCTGAGATGGCGGTGGAATGACTGGAGTTACACATGAGGTTCAAGCTTCCTTTCTGACCCTGGTTCACCGGCAGGTTAACAGGCCACCATTAGGCCTCAGCTCTGCCAGCTGTGTTTCTGCTGGGTTCTAGCCAGTGTCACCATGTGGCTCTCATGAAATCTAGAGTACAGGGCATAACCTGAGTTCTCTCTGGGAATCTTATGCTAAGAGAGTATCTCCGGTCCAGACAGGACTCAATAGAAAGAATAAAATGCCATTTACAGAACGTTTTTAGGAATCAGCTACAGTGTTGAAAACCAGGGCTGGGAGTTGGAGCTCAGTTGGTAGAGTACCAGTCCAGCACAAGTAGACCTAGGTTTGATCCCCAGCTGGACATAAAATAGGCATTGGGGTGTACCTGTGGAATGCTCTCACTTGGCAGGTGGAAAGAGAAGGATCATAAGTTCAAGGCCTGCCTCAACCTCAGATGACAAGTTCAACACCAGCATGGACTACATGAAATGATGTCTCAAGAAAAAACATCAGATTTAATCCAACAAGGCAATAAGAAAAGTTATGATGACAGATACTACTATTATTCTCACCTCAGACAATAGTGAACTTACCTAGGGTTCAAACCCTAGTTGTTTTCATGGACTGAGTTATCTTGGAAGAGATAATACCAGTTCCTCACTGACTGGATGGTTTCTTCAAGTCCTTTTTTTCCTTAAGAGGGAAGATTAAAGGAAAACAAAAGAAAACTACTTTTCGGAAGTATGCTGTGTGTCTCTCCTGCCACTTGCTCCCTACACCTAATGCTGGAGAGGATGAGACTTTTGTGAATGTTGGAGGTGTTCCTTCCTGTGGGCAACCTTCCAGTTCTCTTGCTACTTTGGAAATTAAGGAAGACTTCTTTTCAGTTCTGTAAAATAGAAGCAGTTCTGTCCACCTAGCCCATCCATGTTGAGCTGTAGCAGTGGGTAAGAATAGGTTTGGAAGCCTTGTGGATGGTCTGGACAGACACACACACACACACACACACACACACACACACTCACTCACGCACGCACGCATGCACGCACGCAGCACGCACGTTTGTGCATAGTAAGACATCATTAGGGAACCCGATCATGTCTTCTGGGCACCGGCCTGCTCTGGTTTTTTAACTCAGGACCACCTGCCTGGTTGGCCAGTGGTACTTCCTTGGCAGGAAATCTGGCTGTATTCACTGTTCTGTCCTGGACAGGGAGGTGTATTAGCTAGTTTCTGCACCCAGATCAGCCCACTCCAGAGGAGAGTGGGAAGGGAGCTGAGGGAGCCCCTGATGTGGGAGGGAGTAGAGTCCCTGATCTTCCTTCCTACCCAGTGCCCCCTCTACAAGCCATTTTCAGAAAGTGGCCTCTTTGTCTTTGGTTGGCTGGAAGCTGTTCCTCCTCTTGGAGCCAAATATTCCCTCCCCTTCAAAGTGAGAGGGAACAACATGATGGAGAGCCCAGCTCCTGCATATATGTCTTGCAAGTCTGGCTACCTCTGGGGATAGCTCTAAGGCAGGATAAATGGCCCAGCCTACCCTGTGTGCGGCTGGGAGCTCCAAGCCCTCTAAAGGCTGCATGAAACCCAGGAGCTGTCCTAGCTTCACCAGGGAGACTGGAATGAGGAGGTGCCAACAGACACAGGCTGTCTGATTCCAGCGTTCACAGGGAGAGACAGGAAGGAACCGGAAGTAGGCTGGCAACCTTCAAGCTGCTTCTAACTTGGGGCTCCCAGCAGGAGCTTTGTGGGGGGAGCTGGGATTTAACACCTTGCAGGCTGGGAAGATGCCAGGCTCTGGAGAGCTGAGGCTTGCAGGGAGGCTTCTTTTTCTGTCTCTCACACCCAGTGTAGCACGTAGCACTTCCTTAGCCTTGCAGCAGATGTGGGCGAGGAGAAGAGTGGTGTGTGCAGGAAGAAAGAATGTGTGCTTCCGGTGGGAAGGTGTGCTGAAAGAGAACTCCGGCTGCTTCCCAATTCAGTGGGAGAGGGTTAGATCAGAAAGTCACTGAGGCAGTGTAAGGTATCACCCAAGACCCCCGCCTGACTGGACAGATCCACATGCATATTCCTGAAGCAACAGCTGATTCTCACTGATTTTTCTGTTACCACTTCCAAACGCAATCTGTTTGCAGCTTCTGAAACCATGTTAACTAGGGGCTGCTTTATTCACATGTGACTGAGGTTGATGGAGGTTTACAGCTAGAGAGCCTGAAGCTGGGCTTCTGAGGACAGTTAGACGTTGATATTCCTGTCCTAATGCAATGATGCTCAGAGTCTTGTGGGGGTCTTCTGTTGGCCATTCTTAGTGTTCAGCATCCAGGCAATGGGAAGATGAGCATTATCTCCCCCAGGTTTATCATGACATAAGCCTGGTACAGCCTCTAGCCAGAGCCTGACTACTTATCATTCTTTCTTTCCTTACTTCCTTCATTCAACAAACATTCCAGGTGCTGTTCTAGCTGTACAAGTTAGCTAAGGTCCCAGCTCTACCAAATAGGTAAGGAAGTAAAGTCAAATGATTTTAATTTTGTGTGTGTGTGTACGCGCTCGTGCGTGTTATAAAGAAGACGAAACATGATGAAGTTAGACTGTAGAGTGGGGGGAGGGTGGACTTCCGTGGATGCTTGAGAAATGGGGACAGGCATTTCCACAGACGCTTGAGGAAGGGTCTTTGAATAAGTGGCAGCAGAGGAAGGAAGATGATGAGTTTCCAAGGTTGAAGGAGGAGCAAGTTCAAAGTCTGGTGTTAGGAAGATAAGTGTGGCTGGAGCAGAGTGGGCAGGCAGATGGTGGGATCAAGAAGGAGATTAAGAGATGATGTCACATGATCAACAGGGCAAGGCTGTGAATGTCACTGTGTTGTGTGACTTCCCCTGGGGAGATGTGAATGGGTGTCTGTCCACTCCAGATGGGACATTGATGTCTAGCTTGGTGAGTCACTGAGTTTACCTGGGTTATTTTTGTTGTTGTTGTTGTTTTTCATTTTACCTGGGTTATTTGCAGGAGGAGCACATGTGTAGGGTTATTTATAGGGGTGTAAATGTTTCAGAGACAGCTGCATCACAATAAACAAACAAATACATTTCCTAGAATAGGTGACCATGCATTGCATTACAGGCCACTTAACCCACCAGAGAGTCTCTATTTGGTACTACTTTTAAAACATCAGGGACCTCATGAGCCTTGTAAGATTGTGGATCATCCTCAGTCTTGTGGGTTTCATTAACTTCTTTCATATTACAAGCTTCCTTTACTTTATTAGTTTCCTCTGCTTTCTGTAAGGAGTGTTTTAATGCAGAGGAAATAACTATACCACACATGGGAAGATGCTCACACAGGGGTGACATTTGGTGGGCTTAAAACGAGAGTGGAACTATCTGATTTATTTATTCATTTAAGATAAATAAGGCCAGGTCTGGGATCTGCGTGGAGAAGAGGATATTGGTGTTAAGGATGTATGCAGAACAGCTTGGAGGAGGCTGGGCCATCACACGGGTCCACGGTGAACAGCAGCAGATGACACTTCTCATGGGGGACTAGGGCAGCAGCCACACATCTCAGTGAAGAGACAAAGTAGATGTCTTAATCAGACACAAAAGCCTTGGGTCTCGCCTTGGCAAAAGCAGGGTTTAGATTGTTTTCCTAAGACCATATCCATGTTTCTATTGTCATGGATGAACACTTACTGATACTACTATTTTTCTTCTTAGCTTTGGGATTATCCTTTCTGAGGGCTGGCTCTGGGATGGAGCTACTATATATCTGAAATTTATGATATATTTATTTCTGTATAGAACCAGAGTAGATCAGTTTCCACTATGATGCTCTAGATAGTAAATCTCTTCATTTGCTGAGATCAAACTGTCTCTGTGACTTCTCAGTTCTGCTACCTTGTGCTGAAGAGCCAAAGACAGTGTCCTAGTGGATAGGTACAGCTGTGGGCAAGGAAACTTTGTTGTTGTTCTTGTTTAATAATGTCTGGCTCTGTAACCTGGGCTATCCCTAACCTTATACTCCTCCTCCCTCAGCCTTCCTGGGTGCTGGGTGCATCACCACATCCAGCCCAGTGAAGCTTCATTTATAACAACAGGGAATAGGCTCCAATTTGCCAAGATCATGTAAAGAAAAACATTTATTTACATTATTCAAATGAATTTCTTTCTATAAAATCACCTGAAAATGTTTCACCACAAACCTTTTTACAAAAATAGGGTGTACATTACCATGAGTGAATATACAATTCAAAGACTTCCAAGTCTTGGGGTTATCACTGGAGACAGTTTATGAGACCAGCGAATTAGGGATTGGAATGCTTCCGGCTCTTGCTTCTGCTTCAGCCAGGAACTTGTCTTTTACCCATGTTTTGCATTTTTAGTTGACAGACCTAATGAGAACTTGAATAAGAGAGCTTGGGGATAGGACAAAAAGAACAAACCATTAATCCAGCTCACCCCATGGAAGATCATTTGTCTTTTCTAGTATCGTACCTTAGGAAAGCATTTATTACATAGTTTGTAACAGAGCAAATCCCGCAACTGATCGCAGAACAGAGTAACACATACACTGTCTAAACGGGTGGGAGAAGCGATGCCAGAGAGTCTGAGCCTTCTGCAGGAGGATAAATGAAGTCATAGAGAGGCAGATGATGGGTGTCATGGACATTACGTCAGGCACCGGTCAGCCTTACCCTTTTAGAGACAAGACAGGAAAACTGGGACGGCACCACTCTGTCCCATGTGACTGGGTGGAATAAAAGAATTAAATTACGAAAATTCCCTTGAATCATTCTTCCTTTTCCGCTTTCATTTTGGTCTTGGGGGTGTGGCTAAAGCCCAAAGGCCCTGTCAGAATTTCTCTGTGTCTCTTCTGCCGACCCCATTGTCTGTGTCTTGAACTTTTCTTCTCTTTCCAGGCTGTGGCCAGGTTCTTCGAGCTTCAAAGGGTCAGATTCTGTTGGAGAGCTATCCCTTAAATGCTCACTGTGAATGGACCATTCACGCCACACCTGGGTTTATCATCCAGCTGAGGTAAGGGGCTGGGTCCAGAAATAAGGAGTCAGAGGCTGTAAAGAAACTGAGATGGGCTGAAGGTCCTGTGTCTTGGCGACCAGGGATGAAACATTCACACCGTTCTTCCCTCCAGTGGTTTCACCTCCTCGAAGCACTTCTCCTTTTCCATCAGTCATAGGATTTCTGGTCATAGCGGTCTTCTCTAACTAGTGGTGACAGGGAGGATATTAAAACCCCTGGTATTTTCTGGGTGAACCAATTCATGCCAACGTTGCCACATGCCATCTGGCTTCATAAATGGCTTCCTGTCCTTCAAAAGGAGCAACATGGCACCAAAACTGACAGGGAGAAGCAAACCAGACCCCTTTCTAAGTACTCCTTATCCAAACTGGTTTTGATATCTGCTGTGCCCACAACCCGAGCCCTGGGCTTGGGACCTAGACACAGTGTTTGGCTTTCCCAGAGGAGAGCTGATCCAAGGAGCCGGTGAGGGGCCATCCAGTCTTTCGCTTAATGGACTCTGAGCTGGGTCTGTGGGGATGAGAAAGCAGGTGTTAAATGTTACAAGTTAATATTTCAGTAGTGCAGGGACCAAGACAAATGGTTACTTCAGAGCCTCTGAGAGTGTCTGCAAGATTCGGGGCACAAAAATAAACCTCTCCTAAAATAAAATGGGAGAAACACGTCAGCTATTTAAGAGTCCCAGAGAAGAACAGAAACATAGGATTTCGTTCTACTTGTTTAAATATGGGCCTCCCGGCCAGGGACAACGGAAATGGTGGGGACGTTTGAAGGCATATGCAGAATGTTTCGCACAAAGTTCAGTAGTGTTCCCCATTTACAGCTTCATTTGCAGCACTTACCACACGCACGCTGCTGTGCAAATCTTTCTCTCTGCCTGTAAAATAAATAATCCCAAGGCCATCCACATCCCCTTTTACCCACTGTCAGATTTTACTACAAGTATCACCCATTCCCCCAGAGACGGGTGTTGGATCCTCCCTCCACTGTGACCTCCCTTAGAGTGACTACAGTGACTTTGTAACCATCACCCCCTTGTTGAAACCTGCCACTGGCCATCTACTGGATTTAAAGTGAATTCTGAACTCCTTAGAGTCCAGGATAAAACTCTGGCTCTCCTTGTTGGCCTTAGTTCTCATGTTCCTCCCTTTACTCAGCCTCACTGTTCCTCACAGCCTGGCTCTCACTTTACCTCACAGCCTAGCTCTCACTGTTCCTCACAGCATGACTCTCACTGTTCCTCACAGCCTAGCTCTCACTGTTCCTGTTCCTCACAGCCTAGCTCTCACTGTTCCTGTTCCTCACAGCCTAGCTCTCACTGTTCCTCACAGTTTGGCTCTCACTGTTCCTCACAGCCTAGCTCTCACTGTTCCTCACAGCCTAGCTCTCACTGTTCCTCACAGCCTAGCTCTCACTGTTCCTCACAGCCTAGCTCTCACTGTTCCTCACAGCATAGCTCTCACTGTTCCTCACAGTCTAGCTCTCACTTTTCCTCACAGCCTAGCTGTCACTGTTCCTGTTCCTCACAGCCTAGCTCTCACTGTTCCTCACAGCCTAGCTCTCACTGTTCCTCACAGCCTAGCTCTCACTGTTCCTCACAGCCTAGCTCTCACTGTTCCTCACAGTCTAGCTCTCACTGTTCCTCACAGCCTAGCTCTCACTGTTCCTGTTCCTCACAGCCTAGCTCTCACTGTTCCTCACAGCCTAGCTCTCACTGTTCCTCACAGCCTGGCTCTCACTGCTCTGCCCCTCCTTCACTTACAGCCTTGCAGTAGCTTTGACTTCCTTTCAGGTCCTCATACATGCCACACTCATTACTGCCACCAGGACTTCTGCCCTTGCAGATTCTCCTCCCTAGACCGCTGTTACCCACGACTTTCACATTCACAAGCCTGACTCCATTGCATCACTTAAATCTTGGCTTAGACATTAGGCTCTCAGAGAGGTCCTACTTGACAGTAGTCATGTTTTTACTCATTTGAGTTCATTTCTACTTCCGCATGGTTATTCGCACCTGTATGAGTCTCATTTTTAAATCTATTTTCTATATTAGAGTTTATCTTCATGAAGTCATCATTTGACCTTGAGTTCACCCCTAGGATCTCAAGCTAGACCTGGGCCCATGGCTTCTTCTGTCGCCCTCTCCCCACACAGGTTTGGCATGTTGAGCCTGGAGTTTGACTACATGTGCCAGTATGACTATGTTGAGGTTCGTGATGGGGACAACAGTGACAGCCCCATCATCAAGCGTTTCTGTGGCAACGAGCGGCCAGCTCCTATCAGGAGTACAGGTTCTTCACTCCATGTGCTTTTCCGCTCTGATGGCTCCAAGAACTTCGATGGATTCCATGCTGTCTTTGAGGAGATCACAGGTAAAAAGCACAATGGCAAATGTAGCAGAGACTGGCATGCTCCATAAAAGCACCTTTTTAGGCCTCCTTGTTCATCTTTAGTCAACGTTAGGTTGCCCAGCTCTCAGAAGCAGCCTACATAATGAGAGGAGAAAAAAGGAGAGATGAGGACATTTGTTTTTCTTTTTTTCCTTTCAGCAGAGCTCACCCAAAATTGGAGCAAGGAATTAATTGTGTCTCCCTCATCCAGAGGAGGTGGCTGGCGCCCACAGGGGCTGTGTTATGTGTTGAGGGTCACACAGGTCTGAGGGCAGGATTTCTATCCAAGATTTTGACTCAGCTGTCATGGGAAGAGGCTGCTCATGGTTAAGAGTACTAGCTTTGAGACCAAGCTGTTTGACTTCAGAAAAATTCTTCTGCCTTTCTGAGCCTCTGTTTTCTAAGAAATGATAAAAGGAAGAAAAGATGGGCTGATCCTTAAAGAAGAAGCTGGCGCCATCCAAGTCCTCAGCACTGCCTAAGCCAGGCGTCTGTAAATATGTACTGCAAGTCTTAAGTATGAGCTCATGCTCCAGACGTAACTCCCACTGTGTTCAGGCAAGCAATGCTAATTAAACTCAGTGGGTCACAAAAACAAACAATCAAAACCAAGAAAGACACAAAAGCAGGGAGGTATAATGAAGAAAAGAGCAAAGGTGATCTGGTTATCAGAAGGCTGTGGGAGGAAGGTGTAGTATGAGAGTCTCCGGGAAGGAGCCAGCTCCTCATTCCATAACGACACCCTGCAGAATAGACCGAGGAGATGTATTGAGAAGCTCTGGCAGATTTTTGGAACATGCAGCCAGAGCTGGCTATCAAGGTAGCCATGGTGGACAGTGGCAGATCATTAGCTGGTAGACCTGTGACGGAAGAAGCATCCTTCCCCTCCGAGGAGCACCGGCCAACAGCCCCTTGTCGCTCAAGCACTCCAACTGTCAGCTTACCCTTGAGCTATTCTCTCTGGCCAAGGCCACATGCCCCAAGCCTGTGCTTGGAAATCTGTCCCGCAGGCCCCATGGTCAGCTCTTCCCGCTTTGCTACCTTTTCCTTTCCCCACTGAGCTGTGACTTTGCCCTTTTGTTAACCACGCTGTAGCACTTCTTTTGTCCACTGTAAACTAACTACATTATGCTTCAGGCTGTAGTTGTATGCTCTCTTACATAGCCTGGATCTAGTAAATAGGAAGTCCTGTGTGTCTGCGTCTCTCCAAGGCCCGCACGACTGTTTCACTGAACTGAGCCAAGGAGGGGATATAGTTCTTCTACATAAGCATATGTGAATCTAGGAATGAGGGCGAACACATACACTAATGTTTCCCATTGGCCTTTGCAGGAAAAATAAAGATGCTCAGTAAGCCACAGGTTCTGAGTGTCAGTAAGATTTGAAAAGACTGAATGTTCTGTGTGTTCTTGGAACTTCGCATGCATATCAGGCCACTGAACTAAGAAGTTCTGCATTAAAGAGATCTGATCCATTTCCCGCTGAGTGTCACTTCTTGTGGGGTCTAAAACCAACCCATCCAATGCTGGCTTAAGGAAGCAGTGCATTTATGTAGGGTTTCTTGCAGAAACGTGGGTGAGGGGTTCCTTACAGGATCTGTGCCACACAGGAAGCATTTCCCAGCATGGTTATATGCTGCGTCACTGGAGTTGCCTGTGCAATTTGCAGGCAGCTACCCCACTAAAGGTTCTCCTTTTCTGGCTATATAATCTGGAGGAAGAACCTGCTGGGTCCTTATAGATACTGCACGATGCTGTTTTAATTAGTATAATATCTCTGTGTGTTTGCCTTCTGTGTGTGGGTACCTTGAGCATACTTTTAGGTGCTTCAAACATGTTAAACAGCATCCACACCATTTGACAGTTAATATCGATGTGTTTTCTGCATTCTCGAATCACAGCATCATGAATTCAGTAAAATGAACAATAGCATTGTAAGAAGTTGGGGAAAACACATTGGTTCAGATTACAGGCTTGGGGAGGTGGATTCAGTATTGGTGGTGACACTGACAGATGCCTGTCTCTTTCAGCGTGTTCCTCATCCCCTTGTTTCCATGATGGCACATGCCTCCTTGACTCAGCGGGGTCTTACAAGTGTGCCTGCCTGGCTGGCTACACTGGGCATCGCTGTGAAAACCGTGAGTATGCCTCCTGGTGGGGTTTAAGGTGTTAGTGGGGTATGCAAAGGGGTTTGGGGGCTCACAGCACTCTGGTTTCCTGGCATCTTCAGTGGTCTGAGATGGCACATCATACGGGCACCTGAGTCATACTTGTTGCCATCATTGTTGTCATCGTGGTATGCACGTGCATGAGCTCACACTCATCCACATACGTGCACATCTGCGTGTGCTTATGGAGGCCAGAGTCAGGTGTTGGGTGTTTGCCTCCATCTCCCTCCTCCTTAGTTTTCTCCTCATTGGCTGGCTAGTCTGTCGGGACAGCAAGGCTACTTTCCTGTTTGCTTCTCACCATGCTGAGACAACAGATGTGCACTGTCATAATGGATTTTAAATAAGTGGATGCTAGGAATCTAATCTTAGGCCATCTTGCCTTTACAACAAGCAGTTTACTCACTGGAGTGTCTCCCCAGCCCCCTAAACCGTATTCATTTATACTAAACACATGCATTTCCACTGAGCTACAGCTTTAGTCCTGGTGTCATGGATTGACGATACCATTAAATCGCCAGCTCTTGTGGACAGTCAGAAACAAAGCAGTAACAGCCCTCTGGGGCCCTCGAAAAACTGGAAACCAGGAGAAACCAAGTCAAACAAACGATCCACACCAAAGCAGCAGGTCTTTCTAAATTAGGTCCTTGAAAAAAAGGCAGTATGTGATTCTCTTTTGATTCTAGATTCCAGCTTTTGTGGGGGCGGGGGGATTTGAACCCACCAAATCTAAGCTTGCATATAATAGAGCATATTCTTTTTTTTTTTTTTTTTTTTTTGGTTTTTACGAGACAGGGTTTCTCTGTATTGTTTCGGAGGCTATCGGTCCAGCCCGGCCTCGAACTCACAGAGATCCGCCTGTCTCTGCCTCCCGAGTGCTGGGATTAAAGGCGTGCGCCACTACCGCCCGGCAGCAGAGCATATTCTTTGGCCTTGGGAAGTATGTGTGCCATGGCACCACAACTTCCAGCTCTGCTGGAAGGACCTTGCCACTGGCAAAGAGGAACTTCACTGTTAGGACCAGAAATCATTTATTATGGTGTCTGGTAACCAGGATCCTATGTACAATGTGTGTCCTAGCAGAAACTGGAGACCTAAAATTAGTGCCACTGTCTACAGCTATCGCTCTACAATGAAATGTGCAGAACAAGATGTGCAGAGCAAGAATAAAGTTTGAGGAATGGTGGAGGAAGACAATGTCCTGAGCAGGGTTCCTCAAAATAGATCCAGACATGGGGTGTGTATAAGTAAGGCTGTAAGTAAGGACAGTCTCCCCAGAGGCGCTCCCATGGCTTGGGAGAACGGACCTAGAAATGGAAAAAGGTCAAACAAAAAGCAATTTCAAGAAAAATCCCAGGCCCCCTGCTTGGCAGTAGTGAAATGTGAAATGCCATTGAAGTGCAGGCAAGGGTACCGGGTTCCGCTAACCACAGAACAGTTAGTCGCTAGCCAAGGATGGGATGCCCTAGGGGAGAAGGGAAATGTGAACTCAGTCATGCTGTGTTAGTTAGCTTAACTATCAACCTGATACCACCTAGAATCACCTGAGAAGGGCGTCTCAGTTGAGGAGTTGCCCAGAGTAGACAGGCCTATGGGCATGGCTGTGGGACACTGTCTTCTTTGTTAATTGATAATAGCAGAGCCCAGCTTGGCACCATTCTCTGGGCTTGTGCTCCTGGGCTGTATAAGAAAGCTGGCTAAGCTAAGCATGAGCCTGAAAATGGGCCAGCGAGTAACCGTCTTCCATGGACTCTGATGCACTTTCTTGGCTAGGAGTGAGTTCCCTGCTTGGTGGTAACGCTGTGTGGGACAGCAAGTGGCCCTGCTGTCAGGTTCCTGACTTGAGTCCTGTTCTTGACTCTCCTCAATGATGCACTGTGACCCGGAAGTGGAAGAAAGATAAACCCTTTCCTCCCCAAGTTATTTTGGGTCAGAGTGTTTTTATCTCAGCAACAGAAAGGAAAGGAGAGCATATGCCTAGCTTCCTGAGCAGATGCTCACTGTGGTTCCAGGAACTGAGTGAGGATCAATTTCCTGAATTCATACAGGTCACACAGTTCAATGGGGGACGAGAAGGAGAGCATAGGAGCAGGAAGAGGATGGGCTTCAGGGGCAGAGCACCAGCTGTGTCTTCTCCAGGTGCTCCTGACCAGCAGACACATGTTCTGTGATCCTCTGCTGTCTGAAAGCCCTCCGGGAAGTTGACTGCTTTTTCAGGAGAATGTTTACTAGCATTTTTTACAAGCAGAGTAGTTTCAACAATGGGACCCTGACTATGCCACTGGGTTCTGCTAACATCCCTGGTTTGACAAAGCTGGACTGAGTGTCACTGTGTAACAGGTTTAGAAGATGATGCAGGGATTCATGGACCCTCCCTTAGTTGAGGCTTCTGTGTTATGTGTAAGGCAGATGAGAACAGTGTTGTTTCTTCCTTGTTTCAAGGCTCTGTGTAAATGATCTAGAGTAACAACAATGGCAGACTCTGAGTTCCAGGTGGGAAAATGCATTTCTGAATGACCAGCTACAGTTTTGATAAACAGAGGTGACACTAGAAAAATGTAAACCATGACCATATAAAGCCAGACACCTTTAAGAACTTTTTCAAATCAGGAGAGGAAAGTAAATTGCTCCAGACACAATAACTAAACCATGCATGGATGGGTTGTAAGTCAAGAGGGTTATTCTGTAAAGGTATTCTGTCAGAAGGAAAACAAGCATCGTGAAAAAGGAATGTAGTATGTGCATTGTTTCTTGATTGATAAATGGCCTCAAATCATTTTTAATACCAGGCGAGGTTGGGATGTGATTTTGTGATGGAGTGTTTGCACAGCACATGCAAGGCCTGGGCATGGATTCCTAGTACTGAAAACAACAAAAAAGTCACAAACAAAAACAAGCAGCCAAAGGACCACCATGATATCCTAGGGAG